ATGATAGCTATTATCATTGCTTATTAGTTGGAATTGATTTGAAGTGAAAGATGAACCATGAATCAACATGTTCGTAGCAGACTCCGACTGTAGGAAAATATACTCGTAGCTTAACTTAAAGATACGGAGGAATATAATGTTTGTTTCTACCTTCGTAAAATTTATTATGAATTGACGGCCATATCGTTCACCGTTTCTTTTCTTTCGGGCTCAGCACAATAAGGAATCGACCTTTAAAGGAAGGATGAAATGTTACATGCCTGCTCAACTCTGAGAACGAAGAGCTCTTTTGCATTTTTGTCTTTGTATTTTTATCTCATCCTGTTTAACGCTTCAAGCGAATGATATTTTAATTTCTATAGGAAGACTTTACATGTGAAATTACTGTATTGCGTCTTAATGTTTTCTAAGCAAAATTCAATTGGAAACCTTTATTTTATGTAGAATAGTTGACATATGATGCCTTTTCTCATATAAAAACAAAAGGGAAAACAAAAATACATTGTGTTGGTAATATGAAGAGGATAGGGAACATAGGATAAACCGTTTAACACAGGATGTTTGAATTTAGGAGGATGGATTTGACATCGCTGGCTTGTCTGGCTGAATAGATGGTCTACTTTGTTCAAAAAGGCTTCACTGACTTGTCTTCCTCGGTGATTTTAACAAATTCCTTCGTCGCCGGTTTCAGGTGTTTTGTCGCACTGCCCCTTTGTAGAAGTCCCAAAGTTTTCCATCAAGAATGTAGTCGGAGAACTGCCCAGCTCTTTTATACAGGGTGTTAACTAAGTATATACAATACATTTAACAGGCGATTCTTTGAACAATTTTAAGATAGAAAGTTCATATAAAGATAGGCCCGCAAATTCATCGTTCTCAAGATACAGGGCACTAAAATAAAAAAAAGGTTTTTCGTAAATATGTAAATTATTGTTATTGTTATTTAGTATCTGTTGTTGTTTCTACATAATTAGTAATAAAAGATTATAAAAAAAAATAATTTCCAAAAGAAAATTTTCCAGGAATATGCAATTGAGGACTTTTTTTCTCGAAAACTAAGTAAGATATGAAAAAAATTCAAGACAAAGAGAAGTTGTATTTCGATTTTATTAATCCAAAGAATTTAATGAAAATTCCACAAAAGTCAGTGGCGTACATTTTTTTGTCACAAATATTCGTTCAGATCCCGGTCGAGACACCACAGGACATGAAAAATTTTTAATCAAGTCAGGGCTAAATTAGTTCCTTTATACTATAAACACCACCGCCGAATTTCAACAAAATTAAGTAGAGGATATTAAAGATATTTACGAAGCACCCTGTATCTTGAGAACCAGAGAATTTGCGGACATAGGTTTATATATGAACTTTTCGTCTTAAAATTACTCAAAGAATCGTCTGTTATACTTATAGTTCACACTTAATTAACACCCTGTATATCTTCTTAAGGCAGACCTCTAAGTTGATAATGCCACTTTTATTTACGCGTGGTAACATAGCAGGAAAGCCGCATGTTAGTACCGGGTAAATGCATGCGTCAATCATTTCCAATTTTACTTCTATAGAAACATCCGGGTAGAAGCCAATGACTTGAGACAGAGCGTAAGCTGCTTAATTAGCGTAAAGAGTTCTTTCTTCAATAAGACCGTCCTTGCGGTGACATTGAGCCCAAGGTATCGTTTTTGGTCGAGAACGTGAGTTTTCACTGTTCGCTACCCATTATTGCCAAACTTAATCTGTTTGTGGTTGTGGTACATTCGTGCTCGTCCACACACAATACACTTGGGGTGTTCTGCTTATTACAAGTAAGCCCTCATCGACCATAGTACTCAAACATTTTTCCCATTGCCCACTTTGCTCTCATGATGTGCTTTGCTGTTTGGATTCATTTACCATGCACAAATCATCTGTGTATTGTGACATCGTTTGTCATGCAATGTTTCCTACCGGCAGATCAGCAACGTACAAGTCTCACAGGTAGGGTCCGAGGATGGATCCCTGTGGTTCTCCGTAGCGTAAGTGGCATATTTTTGTTTTGATATGATTGTTTTTGTCGCATATTTGTCGGATAGACAAATAGTTTTCTATAATTTTGATAGCATTTTTAACGATGACCGTTTGTTGTAATTTATAGGGAAGAGTACTATGAGCAATGAAGTTATTTTTTTAAAGTCTCTTAACGAATTTAGAAATACCATTACACTGCGAAGGTGATATGTTACAAGATTAACTTCTCTCCACAAAATCCTCAGTGTAAGGCAATCGGTACCGCAGTGAGGTTTCATGTTACGGCTGGCATAAGCACTTACTAGAAAGGTACTGAAATACTTACTAGAATTTCCGAAGCAATTGTATTTCGCAATTACACCTGAGAAGCTGTCCAATCAGCGTGGATATAATCTGCTAATATCAAGTGGTATATCAAACGACGTTATGTCAAAGGAGATACCGTTTCTCTTGATACATATCGATTGAACCGAGCGCAAACTGCATCAAATTGATCTTCCGTATGTAAATCCGATTAGTCTGAAGTATATGGATGGTGGATGCAGAGGTATATACCGGTTTATCGGCAAAGGGATATTGGGATAAAAATGAAGTCACTCGCATTCAAGCGTATGATGCACTCAATGAAATTAAGGTAAGTCCATCTGATGCGACTAGGGGAGAAACTAATAAACGTCGATATGAATAGGCTATTAAGATCAGGACCTCGAGGGGAAATTATTAGACTTTGCTGATAATAAGAACGGGAAAGTGTTCTATTCCACCTACTGAACCGGCTAACTACCATAGCTACCATATTAAAGTTCAAATATTTATATATCTGTTCACCATTATGCATTGATTACATGTAACGAGTACAGTGGCGAGACAGCAAAATATACTAAGTGACATATAAATCCGAACACCCAGTTTAACTGGTTTTATTTTAGTAAAAGTTGGTGAGTGTATTTATCTTACTGTAAATAACAAGTGAAAAAATTTTCAGCCTTATCAGTTGGACATTCCGGTTTTTATACTGCTTTTTTTTAATTCACTAACGCTCTAAAAATGAATATTTCAGCCGCAGTAAAGAATTGACGTTGGCGGATTTTGGTTCCTGACATCCTTTACGATCAGTTACGATGCCTAGAGTACGGAGACCTGTACGATTTCGTCAACTTAGTGTGTTTGATAGGGGCCGTATAGTGGGACTTCGGGAAGCTGGACTTTCTTTTCGGGCAATTGCAGTTAGAGTGCAAAGAAGTGTAAACACTGCGGTTAGGTGTTGTCAGGCATGGTTTCGAGAAGGCCGTACGCAAAGAGCAAGGGGCACTGGACGCCGCCGTAGAACAACAGACCGTGAAGATCGCCGCTTAAGATTATTGGCCTTAGGGGACCGTTTCTCCACTACCAGGTCCATTGCAAATGAATGGTTTGCAGAACACGGAAGACCTATTGGCATGCGAAGTGTTTACCGACGATTGAGAAGTTTTGGCTTGTTTTCATACCGGCCACACTGGGTCCTCCCTTTAACTCGAGAACACCGACGTAATCGCCTTGAGTGGTGCAGACAACGGTCACTCTGGGATCAGGAATGGAACAGTATTGTCTTTAGTGACGAGTCTCGATTTTGTTTAGGCATGCACGATGGTCGTGCCAGGGTTAAAAGGCGACGTGGTGAAAGGAGGAATCCACAGTTTTTTGTTGAAAGACATGTTCATCACACTGTTGGAGTTATGGTTTGGGGTGCTATAGTTTATGGTTCCAGGTCACCTTTAATCTTCATCAAAGGTAACATGAACGCGCAGCGTTATATCCACGAAGTTCTAGAACCCCATCTTTTACCCTATCTTGACACCCTGGCAGATCCAACTTTCCAACAAGATAATGCCCGACCACATGTTGCAAGAGTCACAATAGACTTCTTTCAACATAATGATGTCACATTGTTACCATGGCCACCAAGATCTCCCGACTTATCCCCAATTGAGCACGTGTGGGATATGATGGGTAGGAGATTGCTCAATTTGCAACGTCCTCCTCAGACTCTAGAAGCACTTCGAGAGGATTTGGTGGTTGCCTGGAATCAGATACCACAGGAGGACATTGACCACCTGATCAGAAGCATGCCTAGGCGCGTTGGAGAATGCGTAGCACATCAGGGTGCATTCACACATTATTAAATGTCAAAGGGCTTTAAAGCAGTGCAATCATTTTGAAATTTTTATCATTTACTTATTATGCTTCATTAAGTACTTATACAAAATTTTATTAAAATAAAACCATTTAAACTGGGTGTTCGGATTTATATGTCACTTAGTATATAACTAGGCCGAGAGAGTTGTACGGGCGAGAAGGTGTTCACATGCATCTGGAACTTTTATTTGAATCAGTGCATTGTCGATCGGAAAACGGGCTAGATTTGCTAATAAAAATGAATAATAACAGCTGTATCAAGAAATATACAAAGTTACTCATACCAGTTATGATTGCGGAATTATATGAATTATTGCGCGAAAAAAAGAAGCGTGTGTGGACAAGAAAATGGACTGCAAGAAGATCAGAATTTGGTGCTAGTAGCACACTTTTTAAAGAATTGCAGTGGGAAGATCCTAATGAATTCAGAGCACTTTTGAGAATGGATGTAGAGCATTTCAATGCATTATTGGAAAGTCTCACTCCAATGATACAAAAAGAAAATACTGTCATGAGGCAAGCTATACCTGCAAGGATTAAACCACAGATGGCATTAAAATATATTGCAACAGGAGTCAGCTACCGTTATTTACAAGCCTGCTATAGGATATCTCGAGCTGCAATATCGTTACTCATACCAGAGGTAACGGATGCAATATATGTCTATTTGAAACACTATGTAAAGGTAAGTGATTTTTTTATCAGACATTTTTTTGAGAGTGAATAGTTTCTTAAATTCTTGGGCTGATATTAAATATAACATAATAGTAAATTCGTTTTATTGTGAAAGTAACAAACATTCAAAACTTATTTCGACATTAAACTTGTTCGTTCCGCATGTCACTGTCACAGGCAGCAACCATAGCTAACGTTAAAATATCATTCGTGGTGCGAAGAGTGTCCGATTCTGAGGTGAGGTCATCAAATCTGTTTGTCACATGATCTGTTGACGCAGTGGATGTATAATTAACATCAGTGAAATTTGAAAATACAGAAGATGATCTTTGACTGCTGTTATTCGGCGCAGACTTTTCTCTGTAATCCTTGATACCGATTTCGCTCAAAAGGCTTTGGATTCGACACTGAGCTAATAAGGCATTTTCTACCGAAAACGTTTTAAGTTGCGATGCAACACTCTTCCCAAACACGTCAAGAGGGTTTTCTTCGGCAGAATTGACTTGCTCATGTAAGCTTTTCAAATCAGAAACCGCTTTGACAATATCCCTACTCCTCTTCCTTGCACGTGAACTATTTCCAATGCTGCTAGTAGAAGCTGATGTAGGTAAATTTGTGGCGTTGGTTTGCGTTACATCAGCTGTAGTAATTGCTCAGGTGTCGCGGGATTGTAAAGTCACGGAGGAGTCATTTTCTTGTGCAATGGTATCTTCAGTGCTGGGTCCATTAATCTGAAAATAACCGAAATCCTGTATTGTTTCTGGTACCACAGAACTATCAAGAATGGCAAAAGATAGAAGCAGGCTTCAGAACTAGATGGAGTTTTCCTGGTTGATATGGAGCTATAGATGGGAAGCATGTATTGATTCAAGCACCTCCGAACTGTGGAAGTGAATTTTTCAATTTTAAGGGCACGAATAGTGTTGTGCTTATGGCTGTTGTTGACCATGACTACTGTTTCCGTTATGTTAATATCGGAGCAAATGAAAGAAACTCGGACAGTGGAATTTTCAGAAATAGCGCATTATATAGCGACCTTGAAAACAATATACTACCAACAGGTGGTTTTTTAGTTGGTGATGATGCTTTTGCACTGAAGACATATTTATTGAAACCATACAGTGGCACAAACCTCACAAGAGTACAAAAAATATTTAACTATCGATTATCCAGAGCACGTAGAATAGTCGAAAATGGATTTGGCATCCTAACAAGCAGTTTTAGAATATTTCAAAAACCTATACCAACTGACGTCAACACAACCGATAAGATTATTCAAGCCTCATGTGCTCTGCATAATTGGTTGCGCCTAACCAGTCCTAGTTGTTACTTTCCAAAGGATTGCGTGGACGTAGAAAATATTGACTCTGAAACAATTGTTGAAGGAACTTGGAGACGAGAACTCATAGCCACCTTGCCATCTATCACCGATCAGACTACCAATAATTCACCACAAATAGCAAGAAATCTCAGAGACAAGTATGTCGAATACTTTAGTGGAGCAGGTGCTGTTGTATGGCAAGCATAGTTGTAACCAAACCAAATAAACTACTTACATTTTCATATGTCTTTCTTTTCAGATCGTGAATAAACACCTCTTCCATTTCCTTCAGCCACTTGATGTTTGAAGTATATACATTACTGAGCCAACACCCCTGATCTCTTTGAATCATTAATTTTGTTCAGTTCTTAACTGTACGTGGAACTCAAATTTTTAATCTTATTTTTGACTTCTTGCACTCAAAAGCCATCAGTATCCTTTTCTTCAACTATTGCGGCAATTGAAGTATCCCGTTTCTGATTATTTTTGTAGTCCGTCGACTGGAAATTCCACAAGCAAGAATGGGATTTATATTGTTGGATAAATTTCATTGTGGTATCACAGTCCCATTTATTCTTAGCCATATTTTATTGAAAGATGAAACATTCAGACCATAAAACTAGACGCAGTTTCAAACGGCGAGTGATATAGCACACCGAGTGCCTGTTCAAACCTGTCGAGAGCGTGTCGAGCGATATACCGAGTAGGTAGGGAGGGTGGTACTCGGTCTAGTAAGTAGAAAAGGGTCCGAGTGACTGTCTCGCTCTCCTACTGGGCCCAGTGCTCGGCCGAGCGCTCGGTTACCTGTTTATACTAACCGAGTACTAGGCCGAGACCACTGTCTCGCCACTGTACTCCTTACATGTAATCAAGGCATTATACAGGGTGTACTGAAAGATGGGACTCCTTTTCAGAATCAACTACGCTTGAAATAACAAAGCTAATATGTGGTCAAACAACAGCGAAAAAGTAAAAAAAAATAAATGAATAAGTATTTACCGTTAACGCCCTTATTAAAATGTTTCGTAAAAAATGTCGAGGTATTGTAAATTTTCCAGCCGATTCGGGAAAATAAAAGATCCTTTTACCGTGCCAGCTCAAATATTCAAAGGAAACGTTTGTTGAAAGTGTGACCAACGGGCTACGTGAGGATTTTCTAACGACCACACACGAGTATTTGGGAGTTATTCATCCCATTATGCGTGAAGGTGACTAATATGGACTACAACAACTACTCACAAAAACGTACTCTTGCAGGAACGTTATAACGTCTGGGAAAGCGATCTGCGTGCACTAGCAAACCCTCGGTAGCATTGTCATTTTTTTCGAACCAAATGATAAATGAACGTATTGTTTACGCTTCCGGCTCCTGGGTTGAGTACTGACCTACGTCGTGCCTTCTCACCTTTAGTCTGATCTAGATACAGGAGCGGATCTGGTTTGATTTAGATTTGATTAACTTAGTGGAGCCTAATATCTCAGGTATCTTTGATGTAAATGCTACTAGGAAAACCGCTTATTTTATTCAAGATGTATGCACCGTGGAAAGAAGTTCCCAACTTTGTGGACACTATGTATACAAAATATTACACACTGTAAAAAAATATAACAATAGTAGATAAATAAACAAGTAAGCTACAAAAGGCAAAGCCTTGAGAGTGACATATAAAATAAAATCATTAATTGATATAATTCTGACTATGTGTCGAAATGCCATTTAAACCCGTTATTTTTCTAGGCGTAGATAAGTATCTACATTTGCTATAAGTAACCCACACTGTTAATGTTCTTTTAAATCAAGTGGAGTTTTTTGGGCCTAAAAAGCTGTGACACGAAATGCTTTTATTTGGTCTAGGCACTATAATTTTGGATAATTTGCTTCGTGTCTCATAATTATGGTCGGATACGTTACGGATTTATTATATATATTTCTCAGAATCATTTTTTGTCCATGGTGAAATGTATAAATTTTGTGCTGCGTGCTGTTATAGCATGTGGAATAACATTCAATAAGTTAGCTGTATTCTATTTTCATTTGAGGTAATGTTAGTGTATTACTAAGAATGTTGATATCATCATCATGTAGTAGATATCTTAATTTTTTATGACAAAATCTGTGTTAGTTTTATACTTTAGATGGAGATCTATGAAGGTCCCAAGATATTTGATTGAACTTGTTCGATTGTCATGTTCTTAGGGTGAGCTTGGATTATAACTTTACTGTAGTCTAGTAATGATGTATGATAGAATGTAAATGGCATAAAGGAATCATCCGCAAAGGTAATTTTCTCGCCTTTTGTTTCTATGCTCTACTGCTCCCCTGCGGGACACCATATTTAAGATATTTTGTTACACTATATGAAGTCAAGGATCACAAACGCGAGGGCAGGAAATTTTGTGAGAAAGCCTATAACAAAACAGCCATTGCTGTTTATCCATCTAGCAATTCCATACGCGGATCAGCCAAATAGAGATGTGTCCAAAAACGTGGAGCATATATTCAATAGGCTTTGGGCAATTTTGTCGTCTGATGTGTTTGTTTATTAAAATTTAAACTGGTTACAGAAAATATAACTATAATTTGAAATGTTATGGTTTTCAATTGTATTTAATAAATTAACACTTAAAAAATCCTTCCAATCAATGATATTCGCTACATATCACAATGCAATCTTAATAAAAATTATGCTTAATTCTAAATATTCCCATATTTCTTACATTATTTTGAATGTAGTGAACTTAAGCTTAATCTTCAAGTACGATTTAGCAAAACCATAATAAAATGAATTTTAGGATATTTGCGTTTTAACTAAGCAATTTCTGCAATATAATATATAACAATAGCATTTTTGAATTTACAATGAGCTTCCAAGTGATATTTTCCTACACTTTCCATTTAATTCACCCTGTATTATGAATTAAGCTAGTCCCTCTTAGAACAAATGTTTGGATACGAACGCGTTGAATAAATGAATTAAATGGATCCAGTCAGCTAAATAGGCCCACAGCAATCAGACCATAGACTCTAGCCGATGGATAACGTTGCGAGCTAGAAATGCTTCCCCTGTCATACCAACCGCCTCACAAAGTTGCGATCACGTTGTGATGATGAGTATATCTTCTCAGTGGCCAGCTCGCGAGAGGTTTAACTTCTATTGTCGTTGTGCTCGAAGCGTTTTATTGATAATGTTCTTCTTAATGACAAATGTATGTTGAAACTTATGTCTAATAAAAGTGAGTTGTTATCACCAGGGATTGGAGCGTATAACAACCTCGAAAATTGTACTCATGCCCTCCACCTAGAACCGCCCAACCCAAATTTCTAATTCTCAAAGAAAATCTAAAAACTTGCTGGAAGGTTAGGTTTTCATCAGAACCCGCTGTGGCAGCAGAAACTCGCCCAGGCCGCAAACTTTGGCATTGGGGACATGACGACTAGGAGCGGCTCAACCTTCCCTTGGAGATATGTTTGTTTTGCTGACGTGGATTCGGCTGTCTGTTTATTGATAACCTAAGTTATGCACGCTGGAATGGAGGAATACATCCCTCATACAGTGAAAGTGCCTAAACTAGGGACCAACGGCTGGTTCAACACTGCGTGCGACACTGCTCCTGAGCAGAAGATCAAGTCACACAGAACCTTCATACAAAAGCCCACTGTAGAGAACAGACAAGCCGATGTCGACTCCAGAAACAAATGTAACGAAGCGGTTCAAAATCCCAAAGACCAGCACAGGGTAATGTCGTAGTGCAATGGCAGTCCATCTTTCTGTACGCTGGCCAAGCAGATTGGAAGGAACACTTACGTGTCAGGATGGAATGATTGTCACCGACTCAAAGGCTAAGGCGGAAGTGCTTGACAAAATCTTTGCTGCCAACTTCACCATGTACGTACCCCGAAACGTCCAAATGCCGTCGATTCAAAGGGTTTCCTACAATATGCATGAACTAACATTCGCATAGGACCATAAGACAGGTGCTTTACTCGATCGACATCAACCAAGCTTCTGGCCCGAACTGCATTCGCGCCACTGTATTGAAGAGGTGTGCAGCAGAGCTTGCTCCATCCATCTTTCGTGTGTCTTCCAGATATCTTACGAATCCGGTACCTTTCCAGAAAACTGGAAATTTGCTCATGTCCAATATATCCCCAAAAGAAAGGATTTAAGACCAACCCTTACAACTACAGCCCTGCTTTCAATTATAAGTAAGGTGTTGGAGGGGTACATAAATCGCGAGCTTCTAGACTACCTCGAAGGTCACG